GCCGGGAAATAAAAGCTTTGGACTTAAAGCGTCGGGGCAGACATTTGTTTGCTACTCCCACTTAGCACGGCGTTCCTTCCCCGTCACATCTTCCACTTGCTTTCCCTAAAAACCCTACCACTTGAAACAGGGAGCTGCGGCTGCAACACATACCCCACGTACTCTGCACAGCCTTTTAAGTGATGTCTTTATTCCCGGACTTAGAACCCCGGTCTTCCCAAAACTTTTCTCTGACGCCGCAAGCCTCATCTACCTACTTCACACACCTGGAAACAGTAATGATAGTATATAAGGTTAAACCTGCCCTTCTTCATTTATACCACAGCTAAGCGCGCTGGTGGGTACGTGGAGAGATATTAAAGATGCCTAAAGTAGACAAGGAATGGTGGGGGGAGGGGACAGCATATTCACTTCAAGCAAAAAGTGTATAGGCGGAAATTAGATTTGGGTAAATTTTCTTTCCTATTGATCTATTATTTCAAGATTTTGAAATAATACCTTTTTTTTTTTTTTTTTTTACCTTTGATTGTTCCTGAATTAGAGCCGCCAGCACCCACCTAGGGAACATAAGCAGGTCTTGGTTCCAACCAACCTTCTTTTGGTCTGGGATTCTACCCCCACCAGGTCTGCAGCCTCCCATCTTCCCCTGGTCAATATCTCAGAAACAAACAAATGTTTTTTAAAAATTAGTAACTAGAACAAAACTGGCAAGGATGATTTTTTTTTAATAGGAAAACAAAATCACCGTCACAGAAATCTTTACATGTGTTAGCTATAGTTGTCTCTGTAGACAAGTACAAACGTCCCCAGGACTCTCATCTCAATCGTCTCCCAACTTCATTTAGCCTCATCCACCTCTCCGTACAGAACAGCAACTGTCAGTGGAAGAAAGGATGGACTTGATCATCTCCAAAATCCCTTTAAAGTGTGAGATTAGGAATTGCTATGCCTGACTGGTTGTCAAAGGTCTAGTCTGGAGCAATAGTCACCAAACATTTTTCATCACCCACCTATCAGTAAAAATGTTTGGCCTCTCCCACCTCCCAGTATACGTATTTAGCTTATCCTAAAAGGCATGGACTTAGAAGCCAAAATGACTACTCAAATTTTTGCTTTGCTGCCAGCTACCTGTGTCCTTGGCCACATCCAAATTTTGCCTTAGTTTCTTCATTTGTAAAATGAGGATAATTAAAGTATCTACCCCACAGTGTCATTATGAAGATTAAATGAGTTAATATTTGTAAAGCATAGTGCCTGGTAGATGGTAAGGGCTATATAAGTGTTAAATACATATATAATTAATTATGTATAAAATAATATATGTAACATATGTGTGCATATATGTATATACACACATGTCTATTATAATGTTGATGTAAAACAAATAGATTGCCAGTTATTTCTCCAGTAAAAATAATTGCAGTTCAGGGTATGCTACCATGGCAAGGCACCTGCAAGTCTCCCCCCCCACACACACCACCAGTAAGGAGAGAACTCTTTTAATGAGGGGAAAAGGAACTTCGGAGGGCTAGAGTAAACAAAGAGTCCATTGGAGGAATTGAGAGTTCCAAGTACAGGGGCTTTTCATTGGTAGAGTTGTGACAACCTCTCATTGGCTGAGCTCTTGCCAGGCAAGAAGAGGAAATCTTTCTTCCTTTTGGTCTCTGCTACTGTCATAGGGCTTAAGAGCTCCCTCTTCTGGTCTCCTGACTCTATATTAATTGAGGTTTCTGTTTATTAATTTTTATGATATGCCTAATATGTTAGGTACATTAAAAACATATTCACAAAATATCAGAAATAATGATTTAAAACATACGTGTGTATGTGTGTGTCTGTATGTTTTCTTTCTGTACTCTGCATATTCTGTACCCTCCTTGGTCTGTGTGTACCCCAACTTAGAGCCTATTGACAAACACAGTATTGACGAATACAGTAGCCATTAGCCACATGTAGTTACATAAATTAAAATTTTAGTTCCTCAGTCATACCAACCACATTTCAAGTTCTTAAAGGTCACATGACTAATGAACAGTTCAGATATAAAATATTTCCATCACTGCAGAAAGTTCTACTGCGTAACACTGACAAAGCTGAAAAAAACAAGGGACTCAGGCAGTAGGATCAACTCCTGACTCAAACCTGTAACTGTGGTACCATGTTCAAATCAAGTGATAAGACCTCTCTCTGAGCCTCACCTCTCTACAAAGTGAAAATAAAAATAGGAACTACCTCATGGATTGCTGAACAGAGGAAATGAGATAAGGTGTGTAAAGTCTTTGGCAGACTGCCTAAAACATAGAGGAACTTGAAAATGTTAGTAAAATTTGAGTTTAACCCAATTCTATCCATATAAGCCTGAAAGACAAAGATCTTGTTATTGTCCTTGACTCTAGTGAGTAAGTTTTTCAAGGATATGTATTTTGGAAAAGACAAGAGTTTGGTTAACTTTTAGTTGAAAACAGAGCATTCAGAGAAAGATGGCAAATACCTGGATTTCAGTTACTGCTTGATTTCTTTGTCCTCCTCACCCACAACCCACGGACAGACCCTGGTCTTCTCCCAGTCGCGCCCATCTCAGCGAAATGGCCCTGCCATCCACAAACCCGATGAGTCATCACTACCTCATCCTCTTTCCCATCTTCTTTATCCAATCCCTTTGCCTCCAAAATATTGTAGGATCTACCTCCAGAACACTTCATCTGATCTCTTCACTTCTTGTGTCCGCTCCACACAGGGGCAATAAAGGCTTGTGTCACTCCCCACTGAGGCTGCCATATACAGTGGTACAGGTTGTAGTAGAACAACCTTATGGAAGAGTGCCTCTCACAGTGAAGCATTGTAAACTTTACATTTATCACAGATATTCTTTGGCAGGTGTCAGTGAAGTGCCTTGTTGTAATAAAAGTATTTTACAACAATTTTCCAACAAGATGGAAATGCCTTGAGGAGTGGATACCTTTTTCTAATTTGCCCAAAGGTGCCATATGGGGTAGTAACATTTCTACTTCACTTAGAACAAAATGGCAGCTCATCACCAGGTCCTTTAAGGCCTAGCAGAAGCCAGCTTCTGTCATCCTCTCCACCTTAAGATGATGCCACAGTCCACCAAATTCCAGTGACGGTGACCTTCTGTCATTTTGAAAATATATCATGATCTTTTCCACTGTTGGAGGCCCACTGCCCAGGCCACTTGTCTATCTAGACAGCCCCAAGCCCAGCCCGCCCTGCCCTTCGCATAGCCCTTCGCATAGGCTCCTCGATATGTCAGGCCTCTGTGCCCTGAGAGAGTGCCGTTATTCTCCGTCACAGCCCTGTGTGTTTCCCTCTTAGGACTCAGAGGTCTGTCTGGACACTGTAAACTCCATGAAGGCAGGGAGCTCATTGTCTTGTTCTCCTTTCTATCCCCAGATCCTAACAGGACAGGAGGTTGTCCCAGCTTGTCAGTGGTCAGTCAGCTCAGCATTATTGCCACACCTTTCTACATTCACCTCTGCAGATGGGGAGAAAGCCTAGAACTCTATTTTCCAGAGACCTTTTCCCTGAATGGTCCCAGGTTAAATTCTGCCAATGGAAACACATATGTGAGATCTGAAAGGCAGAAAAGGAGAAATCATTTCTCTCCAGTACACCTTCAGGCAGCTCAGACAACAGGGAGCTGTTTTCCTAGACTTCTGAGAAAATATCAGACAAACCTGAAAAAAATGACATTCTATTTTTAAAAGGGTGTGTGTGGGGGGGGCTGAATTCTGAAAAAGGGCAGTGGAAGCGTTCCAGATTAAAAGAGGCAAACGAGACATAACAACTAAATGCAATACAGCCCGCCCTCTAGATCCGCAGATGCAGTATCTGAGGATAGAGGGGGTCTGACAGATGCAGAATCTGAGGATAGAGGGGGTCTGACAGTACTATGCCATTTTATACAAGGGACTTGAGCACCTGCGGATTTTGGTATCAGTGGGCAGAAAGGTGGGGGAGGCGGACGTGGGGGAGGGAGGGCTTTCTGAAACCAATCCCCCCTGCGGATACGGAGGGATGACTGTAACTGACCCTATACTGGGTCCTGTACTAAAAGGGGAAAGTGCTGCAAAGGATATTACTGGGTCAATTGACAGAATTGGAATGTGAACAGAAAATTAGATGAAAGTGTTGTATCAAAGTTAAATTTATTGTTCTGGTTATATAAGAGAATATCCCCATTTCTAGAATATACACACTGAAGTACTTAGGGGTAAAGGACCATGATGTATATAATTTATCCTCAAATGATTCAGAAACATTTTTAATATATAACATATAATGTAAATATTAAATATGAAAGAGAGAAACCACCTCTATAAATGATAAAGCAAACGGGGTGAAACGTTAGTAGGCGAATTTGTATAAAGAGTATATGAATATATAGGTACTATTTCTATTCTTGCAAAATGTAAGTGTGAAGTTATTTCCCCCCTCACAAACGTTTAAAAATATATATATAATGAAGCATTAAATAAACTATAGTGAATAATGCAAGACAAACTAGGATAGTTGTCTTAAGTATCCAGTCTCAAAATAGGCCCAGCCTGATAGCTACAATTAAAAAACAATACATTTGCTGTTTTTTTCTAATTCTTCTGTGAACAAAAAGTGAATTTACTCTTCTTGCAGAAGACAAATGCTCCCTGGCTATGGGAAAATAACCTATCATACACAGGGTGTCATTCTAAACATTTAAATATGGGACATTTGTGGCTTTGCTGGCCACTGTGTCCTACGAACTAAATTGGGACAATATATTTCCTGCAGATACTGGATGAAATGGGAATAGATATTATATTCCTTATAAAAATTCATCATGTAAAGAGAATAATCCAAATTATAACCACATCCCCAAATTGCAGCAATGCACACTTTTCACTTTGAAGAAGGAAGTCCCCAGTACCCATGGAAATACAATGCTATGTTGTTTTAACAGAGAGCCTTATAGTCAGCTTCTAGATCATTTAGAAAAGTTTCCAGTGCTTGCTTGGGCAGCACATATACTAAAATTAGAAAGATACAGAGAAGATTAGTATGGCCCCTGCACAAGGATGACATGCAAATTCATGAAGTGTTCCATATTTTAAAAAAAAGAAAGAAAAGATGGTGTACTAGGAGGATGCAGAATTCATGTCTCCTCACAACTAGGGCACCTACCAGGCACCGGTGGGGGACCACAGACACCTAAGGAGACGGGAGGAACCCCCAGCAACTGGGACGTGGGGCGTGGGGGGGAGTGAAGGGGGAGGAGAAGTGGAGGCGGGACTGGACTGGTGCCTCTGAGGCGCGGCTGGGGGAGGGGAAGGGATCCCACGCCAGAAGGGGGAAATTGGGGAACCATTGGGAGGGCAGAGGATCAAAAGGGAGTGTGGCCAGGTTTCCCCCGCCCACTTGGACCACCAGGAACCTGCTGAGCTCTTCTGCCCACTGAGGAGGTCCAGCTGTGCGGGTCCTGAGGGAGTGGGAGGGAGGGAAGGGGGAGCAAAAGTAAAGGTCGGACCTCCTGGACTGGCACCCCTGAGGGGTGGCTGGGGGAGGGGAGGAGTTCCTATAGCCAGCGGGACCCACCCATGGTTAGGGGTCCAGCGGCGACCGGGGAGACCCTAGGGGAGTCAGTGGGGGGGGGGGGTGCAGCGTGAAGGAACCGAAGAAAACGGGCCAGTGCCTTCCCTGTCCACTTAGACACCCGAGAGCCTGTTGGGCTCCCAGGACTAACCCTCTGCCCTCAAAGCCTCCCTCCTGCCCTGCAGAGCCCAAGCCCCGCCCCTACACCCCCACCCAGGGCCCCACCTCTACACTCTGAGACCCCCTCCAATGAGCTGAGCCTAAACCGAACCCAAACACCCTCACTCAGGGCCCTACCTCCTAACTCGGGAACTCCACACTCCAGAGGCCCTCCTTTCCACGTGCTGCCGCTCCCCTTCCATGCAGGTCCTAAGCAGAGGCCCCGCCCCACGTTTGAACGTTGGACCCCCACCTGCGTAGGTCCCTACCCACCCTAAACCCCACCCCTGCCTAAGTCGTGGTCGTCGTCGTCCCCCCCTCCCCCCGCATCTGAACTCTGCCCCCATACCCAAGGCCTTTTTTTTTTTTCTTTTCTTTTTTTCCTCTTTTAGATTGGGATTCTGTTTTATCTTGTTGATTCATTGTTGTTGATTCTTTTGCATTTTTATTTTTCCTAATAAACCTTTTATTTTTCTAACTTTATTTTATACTTTGTTAGTGATCTCTCCTTTTGGCTTGTTACCCCGCCCTTTTTTTTCTCTTTTCTCTTGTGGTTTTATTTTACCTTGTTGCAGTTGTTTCAATTATAGTTTTATTTTTACTAATATATTTTTAATCTTTCTAATTTTATTTTATTTTTTATTCTTTGATATTGTACTGCTCTTTTTTCTTTCTTTCTTCCTTTTTTTTTTTTTTTTTTAACTGCACCATGAAGCTTGTGGTATCTTGGTTCCCAAGCTCCTGTGGTGGAAGCTCTGAGTCCAAACCTCTGGACTAACAGAGAACCTCAGACCCCAGGGAATATCAATCTGAGTGAGGCCTCCTGGAGGTCCTGATATCAGCACCAAGACCCAGCTCTATCCAACTGCCTGCAAACTCCAGTGCTGGATGTCTCAGGCCAAACAACCAGTAAGATAAGAATACACCACCACCCATCAAAAAAAAAAGGAAACGACCAAAAAAAATTTTACAGATGAAGGAGCAAGGGAAAAACCAACAAGACCAAATAAATGAAGACAAAATAGGCAGTCTACCTGAAAAAGAATTCAGAGTAATGATAGTAAAGATGATCCAAAATCTCAGAAATATAATGGAGAAAATAGAAGAAACATTTAACAAGGATCTACAAGAACTAAAGAGCAAACAAACAGTGATGAACAACACAATTAATGGAATTAAAAATACAAGGAATCAATAACAGAATAACTGAGGCAGAAGAACGGGTAAGTGAGCTGGAAGATAAAATGGTGGAAATAACTGTCAGGGAGCAGAATAAAGAAAAAAGAATGAAAAGAATTGAGGACAGCCTCAGAGACCTCTGGGACAACATTAAATGCACCAACATTCGAATTATAGGGGTCCCAGAAGAAGAAGAGAAAAAGAAAGGGTCTGAGAAAATATTTGAAGAGATTATAATAAAACTTCCCTAACATGGGAAAGGAAATAATCAAGTCCAGGAAGCACAGAGAGTACAATACAGGATAAACCCAAAGAGAAACACACCGAGACACATATTAATCAAACTATCAAAAATTAAATACAAACAAAAACTATTAAAAGCAGCAAGGGAAAAGCAACAAATAACATATAAGGGACTCCCCATAAGGTTAACAGCTGATTTTTCAACAAAACTCTGCAAGCCAGAAGGGAGTGGCAGGACATATTTAAAGTGATGAAAGGGAAAAACCTACAACCAAGATTACTCTACCCAGCAAGGATCTCATTCAGATTCGATGGAAGAAATTAAAACCTTTACAGATAAGCAAAAGTTAAGAGAATTCAGCACCACCAAACCAGCTTTACAACAAATGCTAAAGGAACTTCTCTAGGCAGGAAACACAAGAGAAGGAAAAGACCTACAATAACAAACCCAAAACAATTAAGAAAATGGTAACAGGAACATACATATCAATAATTACCTTAAATGTAAATGGATTAAATGCTCCAAGCAAAAGACATAGACGGGCTGAATGGATATGAAAACAAGACCTGTACATATGCTGTATACAAGAGACCCACTTCAGACCTAGGGACACATAGAGACTGAAAGTGAAGGGATGGAAAAAGATATTCCATGCAAATGGAAATCAAAAGAAAGCTGGAGTAGCAATTCTCATATCAGACAAAATAGACTTTAAAATAAAGACTATTACAAGAGACAAAGAAGGACACTACATAATGATCAAGGGATCAAGCCAAGAAGATATAACAATTGTAAATATTTATGCACCCAACATAGGAGCACCTCAATACATAAGGCAAATGCTAACAGCCACAAAAGGGGAAATCGACAGGAACACAATCATAGTAGGGGACTTTAACACCCCACTTTCACCAATGGACAGACCATCCAAAATGAAAATAAATAAGGAAACACAAGCTTTAAATGACACATTAAACGATGGACTTAATTGATATTTATAGGACATTCCATCCAAAAACAGCAGAATACACTTTCTTCTCAAGTGCTCATGTAACATTCTCCAGGATAGATCATATCCTGGGTCACAAGTCAAGCCGTGGTAAATTTAAGAAAATTGAAATCGTATCAAGTATCTTTTCTGACCACAACGCTATGAGACTAGATATCAATTACAGGAAAAAAAATCTGTGAAAAATACAAACACAAGGAGGCTAAACAATACATTACTAAATAACCAAGAGATCACTGGAGAAATCAAAGAGAAAATCAAAAAATACCTAGAAACAAATGACAATGGAAACACAATGACCCAAAACCTATGGGATTCAGCAAAAGCAGTTCTAAGAGGGAAGTTTATAGCAATACAATCCTACCTCAAGAAACAAGAAACATCTCAAATAAAGAACCTAACCTTACACCTAAAGCAACTAGAGAAAGAAGCACAAAAAAACCCCAAAGTTAGCAGAAGGAAAGAAATCGTAAAGATCAGATAAGAAATAAATGAAAAAGAAATTAAGGAAACAATAGCAAAGATCAATAAAACTAAAAACTGGTTCTTTGAGAAGATAAACAAAATTGATAAAACATTAGCCAGACTCATCAAGAAAAAAAGGGAGAAGACTCAAATCAATAGAATTAGAAATAAAAAAGAAGTAACAACTGACACTGCAGAAATACAAAGGATCATGAGAGATTACTGCAAGCAACTATATGCCAATAAAATGGATAACCTGGAAGAAATGGACAAATTGTTAAAAAAGCACAACCTTCCAAGACTGAACCAGGAAGAAATAGAAAATATAAACAGACAAATCACAAGCACTGAAATTGAAACTGTGATTAAAAATCTTCCAGCAAACAAAAGCCAAGGACCAGATGGCTTCACAGGCAAATACTATCAAACATTTAGAGAAGAGCTTACACCTATCCTTCTCAAACTCTTCCAAAATATAGCAGAGGGAGGAACACTCCCAAACACATTTATGAGGCCATCATCACCCTGACACCCAAACTAGAAAAGGATGTCACAAAAAAAGAAAACTACAGGCCAATATTACTGATGAACATAGATGCAAAAATCCTCAACAAAATACTAGCCATCAGAATCTGACAGAACGTTAAAAGGATCATACACCATGTTCAAGTGGTGTTTAACCCAGGAATGCAAGGATTCTACAATATACGCAAATCAATCAATGTGATATACCATATTAACAAAGTGAAGGATAAAAACCATATGATAGACTCAATAGATGCAGAAAAAGCTTTTGAAAAAATTCAACACCCTTAACATAGTAAATTCAACCTACCTTAACATAGTAAAGGCCATATATACAAACCCACAGACAACATCATTCTCAATGGTGAAAAACTGAAACCATTTCCTCTAAGATCAGGAAAAAGACAAGGTTGCCCACTCTCACCACTATAATTCAACATAGTTTTGGAAGTTTTAGCAACAGCAATCAGAGAAGAAAAAGAAATAGAAGGAAAAAATAATAAATAAATCCAAATCAGAAAAGAAGAAGTAAAACTGTCACTGTTTGCAGATGACATGATACTATACATAGAGAACCCTAAAGATGCTACCAGAAAACTACTAGAGCTAATCAATGAATTTGGTAGAGTAATAGGATACAAAATTTATGCACAGATCTCTCTTGCATTCCTATACACTAATGATGAAAAATATGAAAGAGAAATTAAGGAAACACTCCCATGTACCATTGCAACAAAAGGAATAAAATACCTAGGAATAAACCTACCTAAGGAGACAAAAGACCTGTATGCAGAAAACTATAAGACACTGATGAAAGAAATTAAAGATGATACAAACAGATGGAGAGATATACTATGTTCTTGGATAGGAAGAATCAACATTGTGAAAATGACTCTACTACCCAAAGCAATCTACAGATTCAATGTAATCCCTAACTAAC